GTAGTTATTTTTAAGGCAACTATTCACCTCCTAAATATTTGTTTCACAAGTTTGGATTTCTACATAGCTGATTTCCATTGATTTTTAAGGTTTTCTTAGATCAGGGTATACCAAAAGTAAAAGTATAATGGAGATTCTTAAACATAATTGTTTTGGGTACTTCATTTGTTCAATACGCATATACCGGGGGGTGCCAAAAAAAAGTATACACATGACTTGTATTCATGTTTTGTTATCGGTATATATTGAGTACTACAATTTTAATATAGTTTTTTCCTTTCTTAAAATGTGTATACATTTTTTGGCACCCTCTGTATTTACCACATTTAGATCACTTTTTATAAGATAACAAAGATCAAATATAAAAAATTCTCCCAGTGTGTATGTTATGTGTGTGGGGGTAAGCATATATGTAAAAATAAACATATATAAACATAGTTCTATATATAAAATCTCCAGACACATTAACCTGAAGTAGAATTGCATATTATTCATTCTATTGAATAATAAGATTATACATCTTCACTGTAGAAGCCCCATAACCTGGTTGAAGAAATAATGTGATAAGTAATGCTTGTCTCAGTAAAAATAAGATATTAGAGGGATATATCTATAAATTGGAGGTTCTATCAGACTGAAGACCATAATTACATTCTAGAATTGCACATACTTTACCTGTTATAGCAGATACTTTGCAACTGAAAACAATGGAACTATATGGAATACAAAATACTGTTAAATAAAAAGATATAAACAATATCCACATTTTCTTCTAGGTTCCAACTATTGCACCTCTTAAAACACTGTCTAATTTTTTATCCACACAAATGTAAGCTGCCTAAATTCATTTAAATAGTTGCCATACATTATATGATGATTATAAGGATTGCAACAGCTCTGGTTGTAACAGAAAGATGCCACAGCTACTTACTGCAATGATGTCTTCAGAAAATTTAATTCTGTTGAAACATTAGCCACATCATGAGTTTGATGTTCTATGTATTAAGACAAATAGTTGAGTCCCTTTTGGTTAAGAACACTGATACTGGAACCAGATTGCTGGGATCAAACCCTGGCTTCATCATCTCTTCATGGAATGTTGTGGTTCCTCATCTGTAAAAAAGAAGTAATAATAGCATCCTTCTCATATGATCACTGTGAAGATTAAATGAACTAATACATGCAAAGTGTTTACACTAGTGCTTGGGATATAGTAAACTCTATATGCTGGTTATTATTAAAATTTTCAATAAGTAGCCTTTAACTTCATACAAACACATTGTAAATAATTTCCCAGTGAGTGTTTAACTTGCATGAATTACAGGTGAAACAAGAGAAGTGATGGTCATCAAATGCTGATAAAGTAATACTTCCTTATTACAGATTTTAGATGAAAAAAATGCTTATTCTTTGTCAACAATGTTTCATCAGCTTCAGAATAGCCACATTATCAGGTTTAAACAGGCAAAATAAATTTATCTAAGCTTGATGCCCCTCCAGGATTTAAAAAACAAAACAAAACTGGATGATTTCAGATTTAAGAAATGAGGCCTTTTCAGTTTTAGTGACTTGCTAAGAAGCTCAGAGTACTTTACAAATATTCTAATTAACCTTTGACATATTCAGTAAAATAAGAGGCAATCACTGTTTCTATTTTTAAATTATGTATTATTTAAAGCAACTTAGCATGCTGAGACTATAGACGATTTAGAAGTGCAAAACATCCAGACTGTCATTCAAATAATTTACTTGGCCTTTTAATATTTATGACAATCTTTCATGAAGTATGCTCCTATTTTTAGGAATTAAGATTTGCCTTAAAATGGAAAATCTATTTTAAAAGGAATAAATCTAATTTAACTACTCCTGAGATAGTACTTTTTGATCTAACAAAAGATAAACTTTACAGAACCTGGTATGAAGTAGACAGAGCTCAGAAGTGAGGAAAGAGACTCTTATTTTGAATTCGCTCTTTCACTAACCACTATGACCCCAGTATGTCAATTAGCTGCCTTTGAAGTCAAGATATGCATAAATTATGTGAAAATACCAGTCTACAGGGGTCAACAAACTTTTGAGACAGAAGAGCCAATCCTGTCCCTCACAACAATTTAAAAATTATTGGAGAGCCATAAAACAAATGAAATCACCATTACCTGAATGATATCCTTTAAAATTTTTATAAATAAAACTATGATAGTTTTATTTTCATTTTCAATTTTACTTCAGAGCCACATGTATGTACCGAAAGAGGTGCACATGGCTCGCGAGCCACAGTTTGCCGACCCCTGGTCTAGAAAGCCAAACCTGGAAGTTGAAGGATCCTTAAGTGAAACTCTTTCAGCTATGAAGTTCTTCTTATAGGTTTCCAGTGGTAGAAAACCCACTATATCTTAAGATGCTTGAGCCATCTACAGATATTTCTAATTGTTCAAAAAGTTATTCCTTAGTCACATTTTGGGTCTTTTTATATATCTAAGCTCCCCAGCTTCTCAAATAGTCTATAACTCCAAATCTGGAATACCATAGAGCTCCAAAACTGCAAACTTTTTAAATAATGAAAAAGAACATTAAATGAAAGCAAAAGAGTGCTATTCTCTGTCCTATTATGTTGACCATTACTAGGCTGGAGCAAGAATAGCAGGAGAAAGTCAAAGGAATTTAGAACTTGACCAAGTTCTCCAGCAAGTGATGGTTTTCTTACTAAGAAAAAATTTTTCCCTTGATGGTTCAAAGGAGTCCATGCCAGCGAGGTTCCCCCTCCAACATCTCAAGGATTTCAGGCCAAGATCAACCTTCTACTTCAAGAAGGAAGAAGTAAATATGGTTGAATAAAATCCATGACCTCTAGCTCAATAGAAAAGAGCTACTCAAAGTGTGGTGTGAAGAACATGTTGACTTGTGTTACCGAGCTGTGATACAAGGAAAAATTTGAGCGTAAGAGTTTAGAAGTTTTGTAGCTCTTAGGTATGGTGGTGGCACTGAAGGCATTATCAGCGGATGCATCTTTGAGAGTAGATGACTTTGCGGGCTGTCAAGTGTTCACATGAGTCACAACTCGGAAGAATTTTGGCAACATGGACATTCACCTACCCAAAATCTGCATGGCACAGTAGAAAGAGCACTGAATTAGATATCAGGGGTTCTGGGGTCCAGTATTAGCTCTGATACAAACCAGTTTTGTCACTTTCACAAAGTCTCCAAACGTTCTATGCCAAAAATTTTCTTCTCTGAAAATGGCAGCTTGAATGAGTCAGTTTCTAAAGCTCTGACAACTTTAAAGTTTTGTTCTTCTAAGAAAAATATTTTCCCTTAAGGTAGTTTCTTGACAGAGAAGTAATTTTCCCAGCTGTGTATTTACTGCCAAAAGACAGACTGACCTCCCCGCACTTGCACAAGTGGCTCTTTATGATAAATGTAGCATTATCAGATGTTTAGAGGCTCAAATAGCACAACAAATGAAGCATAACCCTGACCCCCCAAAATGCCTTTGTCATGGAGACATGAGATTCAATTTGCAGATATCTCTGAGGTTGAGGAGTAACTCACAGGGGCCTCATCGTGACAGGATGGCTTCCATAAAATTCTAGTATCTATAAGGTACTGTTTATTGAATTGTTGTTTGTCTCACAAGACCTTTCTCAAGGGGCTCTTCAAATGCCTAACAATCCAAAATAAAGCCATCTGTCCTCCCTTAACTCATAAAGCCTACAGCATTAACCCAGGTCTTAAATAGATTTAGGAAATGAGGGAGCCCCCAGGAACACTTGAGCATGAATACCCACGCTAGAGTCGATTCTGTAGGCATTCCATTTACTTGTATTTCTTATGGCCCCAAATCATGTTTTAAGCTTCTCAGCACTCCTAAGATGATACACCCTGTGCCTGCCAAGGAAGCTGTCTAATGTGTGGGCACCATATACATGTGTGAGAGCTGGAGTTAGCTTCGAATTATCAGTAATTCCAATAAAGTCTTCCACATTTCCAAATAAATGGAGGGGAATGTTGATGCAAATGAAGACAAATTCAGAAAGAAAAGTAATTGGAATGATATGGAAACTACAGAGTAAAATGTAGAATGTGTAATCATAGATCATTATTCAAAAGAATAAAAAATTTGTATGTAAGCAATATGAAAACTTAGGCAGCATTTTTAACAAAGAAAATAAGATAATGAGATGGTGGAATGTATAGATGCATATATATATATATATATATGTTTTATTACTGACTATCAAAAAAGTAAAGAATAAAAGATGAAGATTTATTATTGACTATCAAAAAAGTAAAGAATAAAAAAGAAGAAATATTCGGTCCTCATTATCTAAAATATAATTGCAATTAAAATTGAATATATACATTAAGAGGCATATAAATAGAGTACAAAACATTTTCTGATCATAATTTTAATTTGTATTCTACATTTTCTAGAACAGAAAAGAGTGGATTACAGCTCTTTCATAAATAAAGCAGAGAAAGCATGTGATTTATCCCAGAGCTGTTCCCAGCAAAGGAATGCTGGCTCAGGTATTGAGACTTACACATCAGAAATCAGTAAAACAATGCCTGCTGAAATTAAGCAACTGAAAGGAAATGGAGTAAATGAGTAAAGTCCTAGAGGGAGATAGTCACGCCTTGGCTATTGGACTTTGAGGGCTTGTTCTTAAGTGTCCACAGTTCATTAGGCAAATGTTGTCATTGATACCAAGATTCTTCCTTCCCTAACTGAAATCAACAAAAGAACGTTGAGCCAAAGTCTTACATCAATCAGGCATGATCTCCTTTTCCTCAGTAGTCGCCTCAGTGTCTCTAAGTGATTTTCTGGAGTAAATTGAGTTCTTCTCAACTACAAACCAAAGCGCCAGGACCTTCAATACTGGTTTCCTCCCTGAAGAGAAAGAACCTTCCCTATACTCTTTGAGCCACTGGGATTTGAAATAGCTTTAGGATATATTTTCTCAGCACTCTTCTGCTGGTGGGTGTGCTTTCTTTCCCTGCAGAAGTCAAAGATCTCCACCTACGAGAAGATGTGGGCTCTCATGAGCAGCAGACAGCAGACTGCCCTGGTAAAAAACAATGATGAAGGGATACAACGAGTACTCACCACTGACTATGCCCTGCTAATGGAGTCCACCAGCATCGAGTATGTGACACAGAGAAATTGCAACCTCACTCAGATTGGGGGCCTTATTGACTCCAAAGGTTACGGAGTGGGAACGCCTATAGGTAAGAGAGACAAGCCATTAGCCAGGACTGAGAGGGGCAATATCAATTATGAAGCACAGAAGGGATATGTACTCCACATCCTGAGAAGGTCTACGATGCCTTCAGTGGACTAAAACATAAGGGAAATGCCCATATAGATCAGAGGCATGTTTTCAACTGAAAATGTGAAGATATTTAACCTAATACACTTTGAATTCACTATTTCTTTCAAGTTCTACCACTAGATATGTTTGTCTATAGATTTTATTATTTTTATCCCAAATATCTTTAAAAGAATATATTCTTAATTCATCCATCTTCTTGACATTATTTTCTTCAGTGCCTATACATATTTATATAGTTTTTCTACTTAATATTGGAATATAACAAAATTAATTATGCATATAGATGATAAAAGTTGAAGGGCTAGGTTTCCATGTCAATGATATAAAAGCAAAACTATACCTGTAAAACTAAAAGGATAAAGATTAAATTATAATTTGCTCAGGCAATATGCTAGATTCAGTCAATGATAACTGTCTAAAATCTCCAAATATTCTTGTTCCTTAATTTTGTACTATTGCTCTGAGGATATTATTTCCTTAGAGGCATACAGATTTATACAGTGAACTCTTCTTGCATGTCTAACATATAGAACTCTATTCTATATTCAAGGAATAATTACTAATTCCCTCTCTATATAAAACTGTATTGGATAAAATTCTAGTAGAGTGGCAGCTGCTTTTCTCAAGTAAGTCATTGGTAATTTTCTGATAACCATTCCAAAGGAGAGGAATCAGGGAATATCTTAACCACTGGGCTAGTGCAATAAGGTATCTTATAACCTTAGTTATAGGCAAGTCAGATAATTTAGAACCTAAGGTAGCTTCCATTTGCTTGTGTGTGTTATTATTTTTGTTGTTTGAAAGGGATTGTTTAGTTCAACCCTCAACATTAGACAGGGATTGCACATTCAAATGCTCACAGAGACCAAGCAGACATCATAATTGAACAAAGCATGTCTGCATGAGGAGGCAATAGAGAATAGTAACAACTATGGAGAGTTAGAGACCACACGACTCATCTAAAGGGGGCAGCTGTCTTTCAGGTCAGTCAATTGTACATGTGGGAATTGGAGTGAAAGGTTGTAATATATTCCACTTTTCATGAAAAAAATAATCAAATTTTAGGTGAACAGTCCTGATACTTTAATTTAGCAATAAATTCATTAAAAAAAAGTGTGCATCCCAATTCAGACTTTTGATCAACAGTAATTTGTTTAAGCAGATAAAGGTCAACTTACTTCACCTTTTACCATGAATATACAACCAATTGGACTCCCTGCTATTTATCTGATGTTAGAAATATATGCTATGGAGAAAGTAACTTTATTACTATTATTGTTATCATGTACACCTTCCAAAAAATCTACTACAGAATGATTGGGCTAGGGAACCTATATCTGCATTTTTACCCCTTTATTTTCAATAACTTTCCTGATGAAAATACCAATATTGCTAGTGAAGTATGTGGTAAGCTCTCCTATAATTAAGTAAACATGTCTGCAGGGGGCCGTGGGGTTATTAGACACTAACTAAAAGGATAGTATGCCTCCTTTTTATTTGAAAAGCAATGTCCTATCTCCCTAACCAAGCATTGTCACCTCATTTTAGATAACAAGGGTGATAGAGAGATGGTATTTTTAAAAATTCCATCACTACTGCTTTTAGTTAAATGTGCCATAAGTTAGATAAAAACACCAGGAGTAGGTTGCCTTTGCCAGAATCTTTCCAAAATCAAGAACTTAGGATTGATTGTGAGATACTCTGCATATTTTTAGAGGAGCCACGATAGTTCCTCAATCGAACTATATTTAGACTAAATTACAAAATTGAAAACTGCACTTTTATTATCCCATCTTCCATTCATAACCCCACCTCAACCACCTTTCGACATCCCTCTTTGCCCACCAAATTTCCTGTCTAGTAATAATGATAGAAAATAACAAATATCACTCCTTCTGAGAATATGTTCACTTTAATATGAAACTATGAATGGGTATTTTTTTCTATTGAATGGAATATAACTCTAAAGCTAATTTTTTTGGGGGGGTGAATGGGGAGGAAACAAGGGGGTCCTTTCTGCAACACCCCTGAATTAATTCAGCACTTTGAAAATTACTCTGCCTTCATGTGAATGAGACTGACCCTCTGATGCTTATCACTATATTTTATATAATATGATATAAAGATATTTGAATGTTCCAGTTCAGTTTGCTTTCAGCCAACCCCATCTATACTCGGACATACAAGTTCCAAAGTTGAGGACCCTTCCCACACCCCCTACCCTGCCCCCCAGATGAAAAGAAATACACTCCAGGAATTTTTCATAGTGGTTATAAACCTGTCATGCTTTTAAACCAAAAACAATGAGGGAATAATTGGAACAGATGGCAGAGCTCACAGAGAATACATCCATTGGGAATACAGCTGCTGGATAAATTTGTGAGATATTTCTTTCTATGATGAATTGACTCTTTAAGAAAGATCAGTTGCTATTCAGTAGATCTGTGTGTATACATATATATTTTTTTCAACTGACTTGTAATAAATCACTTCCAATGTCATTCAGTCCATTTAAACAACAACAACAAAGACTGAAGCTAAAATATATTCAGATACAAAAAATTCTCTGCTCACTTCTGGTCCTGACCTGACTGAGTCCCTTATGGCTCCAAACTATTTTCAATGGTCAAAGATTGGCAAAGTCAGCTCAGTCACAGCACAAGATGGAAGATTTTGCTTCTTAAAGACTCTCAGGACAGAAGCTCTGAAAAATGTCCCTCCTGAGGGATTTAAAATAAAACTTCAAGAGAATGAGAGCAGTTAAGGCTTAAATAGGTTACCAGGAGGCCAGAAATTACCTTCCCTTCTGATCCTCATCTGTCTACAGTGTTTTATAATACGTATCATGCAGCCTGAAAACAGGAAAGCATCAGTCAGCATTTACCGAGTGCCTACTGTGTGTACTGGGTAATTGCCAGTGTAGCCACCACTGTAAGAATTATTCTTAGGCTCTTCAAAGCATTTTTATGTGCGTAAAACCTCTCCTGGTTCACTTACTTGCTCACATGCTATGGATATATTAATTGTGCTCATGTTGACACCATTATTCCGGGGATGTTTAAGCAAGCAGTCAATATCTTCTCATTTGGCTTTCAAGAGCCATTTTCTCACCAAAAACCCATACTCTTCATTGACAAGCCATCATCTAATGCCAGAACATTTGCTTTTCATTTAAACATGGTTTTGTATACTGACTATGACTTTAGGAAATCTTGGAAGAAAAGAAAAAAAAAAAGACAAATGCCAAAATGTTAACACTCTATTTGGCCAACTTAAACATTGCTGTAGAACGTAAGCTTTATGTGGCGGTTTGGAGGTGGGTGCACCAAGGAGATGGAGAAAGAAGCTTTTGGTGAAATATCACTAGGAGGACAGTGGGAAGAATTAAGTTACATTCTTGACTCTGCCAATAACTATCGCTTTCGCTCACTAAATTTCTTCAATTCTAAAATTAGTGCACTTTACTATATGATTCCTAAGATCTCTTCTGGTTCTAAGCTGTCAGATTTTTCTCCTTGTTATTTTTT